AATGGTTCGTATTATCGGCAACTCTTGCTCAACATCTTGTTCGCTCACATGCCCTGAAGTCGACCGCACACCACGCGTCGTCGAAGACGACTTGACTCCATATCTCGAGAACAAACTCAAGATCGAGCAGGCCCTGATCGACGACTTTGCGGCTGAAAATAGCGAGGCCATCATTTCCCAGCACCCGGAAGGGCTCGGAGGGTCTGTGAAGATGGAACCGCTCCGCGCTGACCAGCCAACAGGAAAAGGAGAGCCTCCTCTCCGTCTGCTTTCTTTGGGTATGTGCCCACCTCAAATACTATCGCCCTTGCATCCATCTCTGATGCCGTCACTGCAGATGGTGGAGGTGTTCGCGGGGTATCGACACTTTCGATCTTAAAAACTATCATGGCGAAGGTCGCCGGTGTTACAGAAGAGGCAGCCAAAGACTTGAAGCCCAGCGAGTACTTTGACATGATCGCCGGTACAAGCACGGGAGGGTTGGCTATTTCTCTTCAAAATGTCTATCATATCACTGATTCAAGTCCTAGCCTTATCGCTATTATGCTCGGACGACTTCACATGACCATCGGACAAGTTGAGGCTGAGTACTACGACCTAGCTAGCAAAGTCTTCAAGAACAACAGTACATATAGCACTGGCACTGCGGGGAGCGTATTCAGCGGTGCAAGGTACAGCGCCGAGTTGTTCGAACAATGCATAAAAGATATCCTGAAGAACAAGAGCGAAGCGCGTGACGCGAATGTCTTGCTGTACGAAGAGAAGGCCAAATGCAAAGTGTGAGCGGCGTCTGTTGGGCATACGTTCTATACTTATAACTTCACAGATTCGTTACCGCCACCCCTATGGATCGTGTCAACAACTATCCTGCGGTGAGGCTGCGATCGTACATGATCGACCAACATCCTCCTGCATATCCCGACGTCAAAGTCTGGGAAGCCGCCCGGGCCACTTCTGCCGCGCCGCATTATTTCAAGCCCATGGTCATAAACGGCGACAAATTGGTGGATGGTGGTCTCAAAGCAAACAACCCGGCGCGAGAGTATGCCCTTGACACCGGCCTGCCCAGTTGACTCACTAACCGCCTCCGACACAGGCTCCTGCTCGAGGTCATTGACTGCTATGGCATCCAGCGCCCAATCGAGTGCTTCCTGACCATCGGCACCGGCATCAAACCCAACGTGCCCATCGGCGAGGCGAAGCTGACCAACGCCATTGCGTTCGTCTCTGGCCTCATTGCCACTGCCACCGCATGCGAGGTGACGCACCAGGAGGCCGCGAAGTTCGTCCTGACGTTCGACAATAGAGGGGATCAGGGCAAGTACTACCGCTTCAACTTCGCGTCGACAGACAACTGGATCGAGAAGGTCAAAAACAAGTTCTTTCCCGGCTCACATGAGGTTACGCGTGTAGTCCAACCTGGAGATTACGCGGGCGTCGTCATTGGAATGGACCGCTGGCAGGATATGAAGAAGTTTGTGGAGCTGACGGAGGAGTATATGCAGGGGCAGACACTGCAAGTGGAGAAGTGCGCGTCGAGGTTGAAGGTGTAAGGCTTCAAGCCTCTTTGTTGTATTCTCAAGACTATGTTGTTACTTTGCTCTCACTTGCTTCGCTTAACGTCCAATACATGAACACTCGACTGCATTATATTAAATGTCGACGACAGAGCATATGCATATACATGGGTATCCATCCATAACGAGGCGCGCAGAGATAAGCGAGGGGTTATTGATACAGTGTAAAGAGTTGGCTACAAGTGAGAGGCAGAAAGAGCGGATAGATAGCTACAAGGTATGTGCGAAACGAAAGCAATGTACGTGCGCGGGAAAATTAGTATGGGTATGCTCTAGATATCAAAGTCAACGCGCGGAAACCAAAGGCAGAAATCTCCAGGATAGAAATCGAATGAAAGCCACAGTCGACCAGGACGGCGGCGGGGCTCAGGTGGTGATCTCCTGCACGACCGTCATGTAGATCACGTCCTCCGGGCGCAGCCCGTAGTTCCCCTCGCCCCCGCTCGCCTCGCGCGCATGCCGCCGGTTGCGCCTCCCGCTTCGGCTCTTCTTCAGAATCGACTTTGGTGCAGGCGTGGGTGGGGGCGGGATGGGCGAGGGCACGCGTGCGTGGTCGAACGGCGCCTCTACTGGCAGGAACGCAGGCTCAGGTACATCAGACGCCGGGGAGCGCGGGATGGGGGAGGAGAAGAACGTCTGCGAGTGCGGGCTGGAGGGGGTCGCGGGGCTCCTAGGCGTGAAGGAGATGCGGCTCGCAGTCCGAGTCGGGATCGCCGTCGGGGGCTGCGGCCACTCGAGCGCGGGCGACTTGCCAGTGGCCGACGGGGCGCGGCTGAGCGCGGGGGACGACGGCACCGCCGATCGGGCGGTCGGCGTGCGGCTGAAGACAGGCGTCGGCGCCTGCACGAAGCCGAGGATCGTGTCCCTGTACTCCTGCTCGCCCGCCGTGGACGGGCGGGAGTCCAGCGCCGACGACGGCACCGCCGACCGCGCCGTCGACGCCCGGCTGAGCGGCGGCGGCTGGACGAGCCCAAGGATAGCGCGCTTGTACTCCTCCTCGCCCGCCTCGGATCCGGACGAGTCGGGCGAGCTCGGCGGGGAGAGGTCGTGCAGCGCGATCCGGGACGCGGTCTCCGGGCGCGCGCCGAGCTCCTTCTTCGCGCGCTTCGCCCACAGCAGCGAGCTGCTCCGCGCGGGCCTGTCCTCGTCCCAGAAGCTCTCCAGGTCCACGTCGCGGAGCTTGCGCTCGCGCTCGCGATCCCGGCCCGAGTCGCGCGTCGTGATGATCATGGGGCGCTTGCGCGGCGGCTCCTCCTGCACCGGCACGGGCTCCTTCGGGCCCCACCGCGCCACCGCCAGCCCGGCCCCGAACAGCACGAGGTACACCAGGCTCAGCGCGGGGACGGTCCACCACACAAGAACACCCCACGCCCCGCTCACGACTGGCATCGCGGAGAAATCAGGGTGCACGGGGCCGAGCGGGGCCTGCGTGACGAGAAGGTACAGGGGCGCGGGGATGAGGAACGCAGCATATAGCATGCAGGAAAGAAGCTGGAATGTGCAGTTGCGCAGGCGGTGAAGCGCGAATGAGGCGTACGCGAGGACGAGCAGCGCGAGAAACAGGATCGGGGCAAGTACGAGCACGATGGACAGCACGGAGGGACTGATGCTCGCTTGACACCCGTAGTGCTCGAGAACATCGAATCGCGTGCTCTGCGCAGGGATGTCTGCATGTGGTCATCAGTGGAGGATAGAGTGGGGGAAGGGGTGGTGCTTACGCAGGGGGATGGACAGGACGGGGAGCCCGATGCAGATGGCTGCGTTGACGAGACGCGCACGACGCTCGACTTGAGAACTCCCACTATCATTGCCCTTATTCTCTGTCGTTGCGCAAGCAAGCCCATACGCGGTGCAGAGACACGCAGCCAGGACCGCGACGTTCCCCGCGAGCAGCACATTCGTCACGATGTCGCACCAGCCCTGGAGCGCACCGACGCGCGTCGGGGCGAGCGCATTGATACCATGTATGAGGTTCGCGACGAGGAGCCAGCTTGCGATGTATGCGTCATAGGCAGTGCGGCGCGGCGCGTGCAGGGGGGAGAGAAGCGCGGCGAGGAGGCACGCCGCAGCGATGAATGACACGGCGAATAACGCGTGGTCCATCGTATGCGTGGCGGATGGGATGGCCTAACCGCGTAGGTGTGTATGGAAGCAGATCGCACTGCACGCGCCATACTTATACGAGCGCAATGGATTTCACTTTTGACAAATGGTTGGTGGGGGTAGTTGCATTATCGACAAGCCAACGACCAGATTAGTTACAAGACACCATTACGCGAGAGCAATTGTGAGTGAGCGCAGGAAGCGTGTTTGACGCGTTGTATAGTCGGATATGGGTTTGCCTTTGTGCCACAAGGCAGAGAGCAAAGAACAACATGGCCCGAAACGGCAGCAGAGCGCGCTGAGCGGAGACGTCCGGCTCTCACGTGACTGGTTCGAGAGACAACGGCCCGAGCCTCATAGATCAGCAGATATTTGGATTGGAGAGTGTGTGCCTCAGGAGTAGAGTAATTATCCTCTTGTTTGATATAGAACATGCTGTAAAAAATTCTGATGAACCTAGACCCGATATCAGTGGTGAAGGAGTGAGCACTGTAAGCGGTGGTGTTCAGAGGCGTTCGGGGATACTTGCTAAAATAAATGTCAGTTGCGATTAAAGCTACATATAGTAAGCTAAAGGTGCAGATCAAGTGCAGCTCAATCTACAGGTTGATAAGCTAGAGGACACATCGTAATCAGCAACGCAATTCGGGCAAAAACATAGCCTCAGGTTGCCAGATTTACCGAAAGTAATACAAGCCTGACAACCCAACATTTGACAGCTCTCCTGCGGCTCATTAGAACTAGTATTGGCAGTTTCTACGCCAGGTCCAGCCCGGGTAGTTCAGCGACCATGCCAGTGGATATACACTAAAGCTTTCGATAGGGACGGGCCCATCCCCAGGTTGGACGGCGAATTATTCCAAAAACCACCCCGATAATTAGAACCGCTGTGTTCGGTCTTTACAACCTCGCTGATGCCGAAATATGTGAGAGCCCTGTCGGGTTCACCACCGAGTCGGCTGTGGCGCGCCGAGACTCGTCCGCGAGCGTGTTCAGTCGCAAAACACCGGATACATCAGCATATTTCACAGGGAAGGTGCTGTTCTATCAAGACAGGCGCTCAAGGACCCAATTGCCTCTCGATTGGAGGCTTGAAGTAAGCTCGAAGTTGCCAAATGAAATAGCAATAAAATTCGGTTTCAAGTCACATGATCCCGTAATCTCAACCGATGTCTCACGAAAGTGTTTGAATTCTCTTACGCGGATGTAAGCTCCAAGAAATAGATATATCGATTGAAGATGCCTGTATGGTTACTTGAGATATATTGGATGAGGTTGTAAGAATCATGGGTGGATTAGACACTTACATGACAATAGAAAGACCTGATGGCGCAGTGGCAAGCGTATCCCACTTGACTTTTGTTGCAGGGAAGACTCCTGTTCGATTCAGGATCGGGTCGTGAAAATTTCACTTTTGTCCTGTTCTACCCTTTTTTCTGTGTATATTCATATGATGCATCGATGATGGTACAATCATTGCCAAGTTCAGAGCCAAGTATTCGATAGGCAGCTCATCACGGGCCACTTTATGGTTCTTTCTCAAGAATCCATCCAAAACTTCCAGAGTTTGAAAGGAACGAATACGTGCTGATGATGTCGCCTTCACCTTGAACTCCGCGAAGATCTCATCTCTGACGGAATCAAACTTGCAGAAAGGATACGAAACTGGTGGAACGCGCCACGTGTCCGGGGCGCTTGTTCGCTTGCCGCATCGTCCTCGTGTGCACCTGTCGATCGATGCCACCCTCGTAAATGTCCACAACAACAACGGCCCTCCTCTCCCCTCGCCAGCGCGCAAAGCAGGCCGGCCACACCTACTTCTTCCACACCACCGACTTCGCCCGCGGCCGCGAGCTCACCGAGCCGATCCCAGAGGAGCCTGAGCACAACGACGAGATCATGTCCGACCATGAGCGGGACCCGCCCAGCGCGGACGAGGGCGAGGATGGGAGCGAGAGTGAGAGCGAGTACGATACTGAGCGCCCGCCCGCGAACGGGAACGGCAATGGCAACGGCAACGGGCATGGGGCAGAGGAGTTTGAAGCATATCCGCCTGCACCGCCGCCGGCATCATCGTGGGCGGACCTCGACCTGAGCGTTGCGCTCGCGCTCGCGGCGCCCGTCGGGCAGTGGCTCACGGGCGGCGACCACGTCAAGAACCTCTTCCTCGTCGCGCTCCTTGTGTTCTACCTGCACCAGCTCATCCAAGGTGCGTCATCTCTTCCCCCCTTTCTCGCTTCCCCGCTTCCCCGTTCAAACGGCGCTGATGCTGTGCCGTAGTCCCCTGGGAGCTCTACCGTGCCTCCCGCCCACGACGCCCCGCCCACCCGCTCCCCAAAGACGCTTCCCCCCGTGCCCGTCTCGCCCGCCTGGCGGCGACGGAGCTGCGGACGCACGAGCACGCATACCTCGCGCTCACCGTGCTATCCCCGCTCCTCGGCGCCGCCTTCCTCCGCTACACGCTCTCCGCAATCACCGGCGCCAACGGCGAGGGAATGGGCTGGTTCAGCACGACGCTCTTCGTGCTCGCGACGGGCACGCGGCCGTGGGGCGCCCTCCTCGCGCGCCTGCGCGAGCGCACGGCGGAGCTGCACGACGCGGTGCACTACCCGAGCGCCGAGAGCGCGTTCAGCGCGATCAAGAAGCTCGAGGGTGCGCTGAAGCGCATCGAGGCGCTGGAGCAGGAGCTCCGCAAGACGCAGGGGCTGGGCGTGGAGGCGGCGTACGACGACCTCAGCGGCGGGCTCGACGCGGTCGAGGCCGCGCTGCGCAAGGGGCAGCGCAAGGCGGAGGCGACGAAGGCCGCGCAGGACCGGCGCCTCGCCGCGCTCGAGCGCAGCGTCGCCGTGCTGCTGCAGGAGCGCAACGACCGCGCATACAGCCGCCCGCACGCCCCGCCGTCGTTCGCCACCGCCCTGCTCGCGCTGCCGCAGAGCGCGTGGGCGCACGTCGCGCCGTACCTCCCCCTCGCCCCCGCGCAGCCCGCGCAGCCCGCGCAGCCCGCGCTCTCCGAAAAGGCGGCGGGCAAGCGCCGCCTCGAGACGATCCCCGAGGACCCGTTCTCGCCGCTGTCCCGCTCGCCGCCCCACTCGCCGTCTCCTTCGCCGTCGCCCTACCCCTCCGTCTCCCCCGCGCGCAAAGCCCGGTTCAGCCTGACGCCCGCCCCGGAGTCGTTCCTCGGGCTCGTGCTCGCGGCGCTGACGTGGCCGCTGCGCGTGGTCATCGCGCTGTGCCGTGCGTTTCTGGGGCCTGCCGGGCGGCGCGGCCGCGCGCGGCGGGCGCGCGCCTGACCCGCTTCCTTTGCTTCGTTTGTCTGCGTTTCGCGGCGAGATGTCCTGCTGTCCTCCCGCATTGTGCACGTGTACCAGTCGCTTGCTACCTTATCCTGTATGATCTGTAATCCCGCCGATGTATGTACTCTAGGTGTAATCCATTCTTTGTTTCTGGGACAAGCGCCTGTCTTGGGTGGCGCGGGCGTTGAGAGGAGATGGGGTGGGGAACAGCAACCAGCGTGCGTCAGACTGGGAAAACTTCTCCATTACTATCGTGCGCCTTTATATATAGACCTTATGCATGCGCAAGCCCTGGTGAGATTCGCCTAATTATAATAAGGAATACCTTTGCCTGTCTCAATTTGTTGGGCAGTCCTCGCTGTTTTTACTGTTGTGGGCGTTTCGCCCCAAAACCATATGCATCATCATCCCCACGCCCTTTCATTTGTCCTCGTTCTGGCACGTCCCGCAGAACTGACCTTCTATTCGGGCTCACCTCTATACGCCTTCAAATGTTCTGTGCTCTAATGCTTGCTCTTGTGCCTTGAGGCTAAATCGCTGTTCACGCGCAAGCGCATACTACCGCTCCATGACCTCCGTATCATTTCACCCTCCTACTCACGACGAGTCGGTGGCAGGTCCAAAACGCAGACACACCCAAATACTACATGCGCTCTATGCTCGATGAGGCTACCCATCACCACCTTCCCAGGGTGTGTTTACGCCTCACTTCGCATTACCCATACCACCACCATCTTCGCCGTATCTCACGTCTAAATATCTCACGCGCACGACTGCGAATTCATACCTACCGGATATGCTATACTCATTGATTCGGCCCCGAGAAAAACATCAAAGTGAATATGCCAATAAAGCAACAACAAATGGATCATACATATATTGCGAGTACGGCGAAATACAAAGCATATGTGACCAAATCGAAACCAACCCCCCAGTTTGACCGCGAGCTCACTTGGAATACACGTCGATAGCACGTTGCAACATCCCGGTGATCTGCTCCTCGATGTGCCCGGCGTGCTTTTGGTACTCCTAAAAACGAATCAAATAGGTGAAAAGAAAAAATGCTGCCGGGAAAGCACCCACCTTGTCCTGGGCCTTGAGCACATCGAACAGCGCGATGATCGCGATCATCTCACCCTCGAGCGCGAGCACGACTACTTTGGGGTCGAGGCCCTGCTCCACGAACGCCGGCTTGCTCTCGAAGAACTTCTTCGCGGCCTGCTCGCCGGACTTGCCCAACTGCTCGAGGTCACGGTAGAAATGATGCTTCTGTGCGTCGGGGAAGTCTTTCTGCGCATCCGGAGGTCAGCGCGCGGCACGGTGGGATCGGGTGGGGGCGTAAATACCTTAGCCTGCGCGGCGAGCTGCAGGAACTGCATTGAGGTATTGTGGATTGCCTTGAGAACAAACTGCGCGGCGTAGAGTCAGGGTGGGATGGGCGCGCGGGGAGGTACGCTCACGTCTTGTGGGTTTTTATGATGTTCCTCCTTGTGGAGATTCTCGTGGACCTCGGCCCACTGCAGCATTCGGTCAGCGGCTGTGATACAGTTAGGGGGCGACAGCAGTGACCTCCGCGCTCAGGTTGTCGACATGGGGCTTCAAGTGGGCGGGGGTGACAGCGGGGGCGGCAGACATTGTGTGGTAAGGATGGCTAGGAAGTGCAGGAGGAGAATGCAAGGGCACAATTCACGAATGAATGTGCTGCCCTCTATTGCCTGCATTCATATATACCTATTCATTCACCGAACTTCGTAGATTCCCAGGAGAGAGCTCATCATCTGACAGTGGCACATGTGTGGCGCATCCGCGCATATACAGAGCGCCGATAAACAGGTTGTAGACATCGGCTGTTAGGAACACGCTCGGAGATCGATAAGATGCTGGTGCGACTGAAGTAAGTGAATTGCTCTGTCCGGACTGGGACTTAGCATAACTGAGCGGGTCTCTGACACTGATATGCTATCATGCTATGTCTCGGATTGATGTTTACCGTGTCAGTTGGGCACGCGCACGATGACATAGGGTTCGGCTTCCCCTGTTTGTTGACCGAGTGTTCACTATACTCAGCTACACGTCTACTTTGCTTGCTTTCTTCCGTCCTCTCTATCTGGTATGGCAAGATACATTTCAAGTACAGTGAAATACATTGCGAGGACAAGTACAGCTTCGAGTATCAGTCCGGCCTTACTCGTGCACAGGCTCACTTGGAATATGCGTCAATGGCACCCTGGATGGTTGCAGTGAGCTCCTGCTCGATGTGTCCGGCGTGCTTTTGGAATTCCTGTGATAAACCATCAGTAAAGAGGTGATTGTATGCTGTCCGTTAAAAGCTGACCTTGTCCTGGGCCTTCAGCACGTCGAATAGGGCGATGACGGCGATCAACTGGCCCTCAAGTGCGAGCGTGACTTCTTTGCCATTGACACCTTTCTCCACGAGGGACGGCTTCTGCTCAATGAACTTCTTCGCAGCCTTCTCTGCGGACTTGACTTCCTTGTGCAGGCCGTGGTAGAAGTGATGTTTGAGTGCGTCAGGGAAGTCTTTCTGGAAAGGGACGCGGGGTCAGCAGTGCACGGTATGTCAAGCGAGATTGCAAGATACCTTTGCGTTTGCGGCAAGCTGCAGGAAGTGCAGGGCGGCATTGTTGATGCCCTTGAGGACACCCTAGATATAACCGAGTCAGGACAGAGATGGGGACCCCATTGAATACACTCACTACTTGTGGGTGCTCATGGTGCTCATCCTTGTGAACGTGCGCATGGAAATCGGTGATCTATGGTACTTGGTGAACATCCACGACAGCGATATACAATCAAGAGCAGGACTGACGGTAGTACCCAAGTTTTCGACATGGGGCTGCAAGTGGGGGGCAGCAGGTGCAGCGGCGGGTGCAGGTGCGGACATGTTTCAGTTAGGGAGGTTTCTGGGGTATGCAGGGGGGAATTCTGTATGCACAGAGTAAGCCTCTCCGCGGTTTATATACAGTTCCCTCCCATATTTAATCTGAGAAGCACGTCTCTCATCATCTGACCGTCAGATTGCGACCTATATGCCAACGTGGCGTATAAGCGCATTGTACGTGTGGTCCCTCAAAACTCGCCGATAGACA